AAAGTGTGTGCATTTCTGCAGCATTTTCAAACATCCTCCACACTAGGCATACATGAAACATCACATGATTTGGAATCCTTTACATCAATACCAACACTATTTTAAAATGTCAAGAAATGTATTTCTCGTGGCGTAAAGGGACGCCCCCTCATTCAAGTAACACTCTCGTGCGAATTAAACGCTGATGGTGTTTTGCATTCAGATTTAGTTGTCAGAGATGCATGTGGCAACAAAAGGGGAAGATCAATACCCTAGCTGAATGATTGATGGGACTTTATACAGTTGCAGATAGCGACAATCTGTCACCAAGCGATCGTGAAGTGAGTATGGTTTTTAGCAACACAGACATATCCTCATGTCTTCCAAGTGAAAGGCCTGACAAGTAAGTAACGTATTTATATAACGTGTACACATTTTCAAGTTGAAATCTTAATTCTAAAAGGGGCGGTGGGGTAGCGTAGTGGTTAAAGCGTTCGTTCGTCACGCCGAAGACCCGGGTTCGATTCCCCACATGGGTACAATATGTGTAGCCCATTTCTGGTGTCCCCCGCCGTGACATAGCTGGAATATTGCTAAAAGCGGCGTAAAACTAAACTCACTCACTCACTTAATTCTAAAACATATTTTTAAGATGATCTGCTGGTAGTTATATATAAAGACCGGGGATGGCCACGTCGCCCTGTCAAAGTTGTCTTTCGATGCAATGCAACAAAATTGACTTACCGGTTTATGATGCAAATAAGCCACGGTATAAAGAAATGTGTTAAGAAGACTAACTGCAAAATGTATTGATGCAGACAGTCTATAAAACATACATGTTATTTTAGTTTTCTCTTCTTGAAACCCACAATATCAATCAGGTGGATAGGGGAGGCGCGTTTCCATAGCATCAAGTATGTTAGTGGAGGAAACCTTTTATTCAGGGTTTCATAATTCACTCTTGTTCCATGCAGGCAGTGAAAATTACCCCTTCCCCGATCTCCCCTGAACCCTGCTGTGCAGGCTTAGGGTTGTGCACTTCTTTGATGCTGACATGAACATTTTATTCCACTCAGAGGGAGTGATATTTGTTCGGTAAATTGTTATTATCATCAACACTTTGACCAGTTAAATTTAGTTCTTCAAAATAGGTAGTGAATATTAAAATATTACTATTTAGCACATGTTCATTCTGGTAGTAAATTCCAAGCTCAACCTTTGACATCGCCAGGCACCCATAGCGATTACAGTCCTGTCGCTCATGGGCAGATAACATCTACATTGCTGAGGACTGGCTGGCTGAGTATGGTTTTACACCGTTTTAGCAATATTGAGCAATATATCAAGTTGTACCCAACCCGGGTCTTGCGTAGATCTAATTGGAAACACATGGGGATTAATGAAACACATGGGGTATGGCTGGAATATTGCTGAGTGCGGCGTTAAACAACAAACCAACCAACCAGTCTCCTTACAAAGTTTATTTCATTTTAGGTCGAAAACAATGTCTGCAGTGGAGTTCAGATCATACTGACACCGCTTGCACAGCGCCGAAATCCGATCACCTTTATATTGTCGATCGCATTTCTTAATCATATCAGCACACGATGCTCTTGACAGATATTTATGCATAACTTACCCTTTTGAAAACTGATTTATGAATGATGACATTAAAATTCAAGTCATATTGATATATGCCCAGCTGGTGAATCTTATAGCACATACGCTGAATTGGTAACTAAAGTATTATGAATTTAAGTACACATTCTTCAAAAATAAGAATTTCCGTGTATCAATGTTACATTTGACCACTTTCTAAAATGGCATTGTGTAATTTGTACTAATTAGTAACTTGTAACAACAGGGGCAGGGGTAAGGGGGCTAGAGGGGTGGAGTCGCTTTAGAGTTACCTATCAATAAAGCATTAAAAGAATAAACCATATAATCTTAACATCACTTGATTTGGTAAATATACTACTATTTGTACTACTAAATTCGTGCCATTGTTTCAAACTTCAGGCATATATCTCTTATTACATTATTGGGAAACTGTTTGAAGGAATTGCGTTCAAACACTTGTATGAAATTTCATATGAACAACTAACATCATAAGCATTGAACAGGCTTCCACGGGGACCTCTCCGCTGTCTATCAACTGACTGAACCGTACCATCATTAAACAAAAGAGGGTACTAAAGCATTATAGATTTAAGTATATTTACTTCATAAATAAGAATTTCCGTGTATCAATGCTAAGTAGGTTTAAGGATCGTCATGTATTCTTTGTTTTGTTTTAACAGACGTATAACAAACAGTACAACAACAATAATAGCACTTGGTCTGAAAAGTGAAACAGAATGTTTTCTGGTTGCTCCTCGTGAGTAGTCACTTGCCACTCGTAACCGTATATGGTGGACTAACATGTAAATATGAAATGTAGGTAATGACATTTAGTCAGCCAAACTCTGATCTATGGTACGACCCAGAATATGTCGTGAGCGTCGTGGAAAATGATAAATCCCCCTGGAAAAAGCCAGTTTAAGGCCTTAGACGAACCCAAACGTTTGAATGATTTTGAAACGTATCTGTTGGCACTAACGTGGTGTCAAAAGGAGCGAATACGCAAGCTGGAAGATATGGTATACACATACCGTTGTTAAAATGGTTATATGACTAATCTTATACAGTGAGCGTGTGTCTGAGGGCACTGTCACAGCTAAGATGTTTAAAGAGTTGGATCCATTTTTCTACCTTTAACTGTAATGTTAGCGCCATTGCAAGCGAGAACGTAGAGCCGAAGAGAACTATGCCTATTTTAAATGAATAGACTAAAGAGATGTGGAATCCCTTTCCCTGTAACTTGTTAAATGACTGTAAAGACGCATTTGTTAGATATATAGGTGGTTTAGTCAAGATTAAACCAACGGATATTAGTGTGTGATATTAAATAGAAATGCAGATTCATCAGAATGGCCATTGTACAAAGTGTTCGCAAAACAAATGACCAGACCAGACGGTGTCATAAACACTTGTAAGAGTAAGTCTGTTGGTCACCTATAAACGCTATATTGTTCCGGCTTCGTCAAAAGCATGTCTTTATGAATCACTGTCAAATATGTAGTGATAATACAGGTGTTTACTCACAGGTCGGAGTTGGTGAGTTCAAAATTTAACGTCACATCGGCAATATTTCAGCCATATTGTCACGAGCAAAATGTTAATAAATATGATAAGTATCTGTCACGAAGGACCGCAAAACACATGGAACATATCACAGAATTCGTGTCTAAAACAAATAATTTCTAATTCTAAAACAATGTACTCAATACAAATCGATATGACATTTATTAGTACTAAAACACGGGCTATGGACCTCCAGCAACCAAAGCCTGGCCACCATACTGGGGATCGCCCTGCTAAAAGTGAATCTTTCACAGAACGTTATTATCTGGTGATATAACGATACAGTAACCCATTGTGTACATGTACCTTATGCAGTGAAAAGTGTGTTAACATATGATTCATTTTACCTCAAATACCATAAGCCAACATGCATCTCTTTCCAGCAAGTCAAAATGAAGGTCCGTTTAAGACGATTGGTGTTCCTGGTGCTTGTGTCGTGCGCTACTTTCTGGCTTGTGACTTGGCATTCCAGTTGGACTGTCATTTATGACATCAACAAGCCCATGTCTTCACACGGCTACGTACAGTCCAGTACAGTAAACAAGCCAGTGAAACGTGACATCCAGTGTGTGGGGGCAGGACAAGATGAGGCAGAAGACCTTTTCTGTATGGTATGTAAAGGGTTTGGTTCGTCCCTTAACAACATCAGAGAACTTATGTCATTACTTTCTATTGTATACTTGTATCACTCATCTAAAGCTCTCTGTTGATTACGCTATCTGTCTTAGGATCACGTGCATAGGAGGTGCTTTACGCTATCACGGCTTTTAGATAGATATTTTTTAGATATTTAGCTGAAAATAGTCAACATCTATGATAATGATTGAGCCGAAACTGACCTTGTTAGCTTTCACAACTTCAGTAGTGAAGTATCATTATCAAATGTACTGATACTTTAAATTAATGATAGCAAACACTATTCTTAAGTAAATAAAAGCAACAAAATCCTTTGCTGTCAATACGAAATATTGATGTTATATGGTTTTGCAAAAAAAGGAGGAAATCCCGCTGTGGCGTCCACCACAAGCTTGTGCACAAGCACCTGAAAAAAACCAGGAACATATTCAGCAAGCAAGAACATGGAAGCCATGGATACTGTCATATTGATCAAACGAAATTTGAGCAAGAGTCTTTGTAATCATTACAGGAACAATATGCCCCATCGTATTTCAAATTTGTAACATATAGAGAGATATCAAGGGCTGCAGCTTCAGGGACATGGCTTGGCTAAGAGAGAAAGTGGAAAACTAGAGTTACCCCTCTTGTTGTACAGTCTTTGTTGACATGTTTCTGTTACTCTCATTCTTTAAGCAGAGATAATTTTATAAAAGAAGCGAAGCGATCTCGCTGTTCTAACATGTTTCTCTTTATATGCATAACGATTTGTAACTTGAGATTTCTACTGGTAGGATTGTTTATTAGTTGTTTGTTGTTTTACGCCGCGCTCAGCAATATTCCAGATATATGGTGGTGGTCTGTAAATAATCAAGTGCAGATAATCCAGTGATCAACAGCATGGACATTGATCTACACAATTGGGATACGATTACTTGTGAACCCTGTCATCGAGACTGACAACCCGATCCCGTTAGTCGCCTCTTACAACAATCATGTTTTTTCTGTCCCGGATCTTTTCGGGTATGATCCAATGTAAGACGCGTTAGAAAATGTTTGTTTATGATGAAATATACATGTTCACCAATTGTAATCCGGATCTTCACAGGTGTAGTGGTAGGAGATTGGTCATAGTTGAAAAACTGACAAGAAGATGCACTGAAATCATTCTCTCTTATTACTCTACATAGTTCTCATTACATATGGACAGGATTTATACCATGATGATGTTCCTTGTGCCACAGGAGAGGCCCCAATATCTGCCTAACTTCAAGAACCCCTGCTGGTACGCAAAAGAAGATGGGATGTTGCGTCTTAAGTGCGTCCCATACTACCATATTCTTGGAGTGGCCAAATCGGGGACAACCGACCTCTCCTACCGTATAAGGTCTCATAAAGACGTCCTGGGATGCAATGATTGTTTCAACCAGAAGGAAATATTTTACTGGTGCCGTACAAGATATGGTAAATTATGTTACTGATACATTTTTATCAGTGTGTACGGATGAGTGAATGATTGACAATGATTGGCGTGTGTATAGGTACAAACTAACCAGCACTTTCGATGTTCACTGTTTACTTGTTTCCCGATAGAGAGACAATCACAAACAAAGGAGTGTGTTAGTTAATATTTATTGTCGCATCGGCAATATTTCAGCCATCTCATGACGGGAATAATTTACAAATTAATAACAAATAAATTTTGAAGATTAAAACCTGACGGCGATGACAGATAGTAAGATAAAACTAGCATGTTATTATAAAATGACATCACTAAAGTGAACAATACAGTACTTTTGCTACCAGTGTGGACCCAAGCTGGATTTACATGCTTGTGGTAAGAGGCGACTAACGGGATCGGGTGTTCAGGCTTTCTGGCTTGGTTAACAAATGTCATCGTATCCCAGTTGCGTAGATCGATGTTCATGCTGTTGATCACTGGATTCGAGTATTTACAGACAGCCGCAATTGAGCGTGATGAGCGGACGCCTGAACCACTGGGCTACCCCACCGCCCCTTACAACAACATTTCCTAGTAAGGTGATCTACCTTCTGTTGTTGGCAATCTATAGCCTGGTTTTGTTATTGTGTATTGTCATGTATAGTTCAAATATCTCAGATTTGATTACTAGTTTTATATATATATCAGTGATAATCTAGTTGTTTTACTGTCCTTCGTGACAGATCGTTATAATTTACCTTTAATTATTATTAATCTATAACTTTATTTAGTCACAATGTGGCTGAAACATTGCCAAAGTGACTCTTAAAACTCAACTCAATCACTTACAACAACGTGATGTGCTGCGGTCTAATATGAAGAGGATTTCACTCGATCCCATTGGTCGCATCTGCATGGGTTGCTGAAGACCAGTTCTAACGGGGCTAATATACCAGAAAATATATCACTAATATTTCTAATCCTTGATTTTGCCAGGTTATGAACATAGCATGAAGAAGGGAACACCGTGTGACTTCGGCTGCTTTCAACAAATGTTCACTACCGCGGCACAACAGATAGAACAGACTACAACTGAAACAGGATATCACAGCATGATTACAGGTAGGTAGATATACCCGATTTTCTTGAATAAAGAGCCTTGGGCGCTTATTTTGTCAACGGACTTCCAGTCCCGGCGCTTATTAGAGGCCCGGCGCTTTTCTTGCTTACTGGGTGTACTCATCGTAGTTGTTAGTGAGCTGCTTTACCCCTGGCGCTTATTAGAGGCCCGGCGCTTATTTCTTTGAATAGCATTCTAGAAGTTGAGGAGATGACGAATGAGGACAATGTTTATGGATATACAACTTCTTTATTCTGTATGGGAGACGTTTCGGCATAGATTTTTCGACAACGACATTAGAATCTATGTCGAAACGTCGCCTATACAGAATAAAGAAATTGTATATCCATAAACATTGTCCTCATTCTTCCGGCGCTTAGTAGGGGAAATTCGGTACATAGTGAAAAAGTTCATGAATATTATGACATTTTGAAAATTCTTGGTCCACGCTCCGATTATATGTCCAGGAATGGTCACCATTACTATTTTATCCAACATGTAAATGTCTAAGACTAATATTGATTAAGGTCCATGCGTCCTCTCACATCAAGCGTTATATATATGAAACAATTTAAGCAAACTCGCTCATTTATGCCCTGTCTCTGTTCGTCTAGGGGAGGCAACTCCAGAAGATTTTTGTGATTTCCGGTGTTGGTCCCACATACCCCAAAATGCAGGTTTAGAGAAACCGGTGGTAATGACACCCCATCTTATGAGACACGTGTATACAGATCCGAAGTTCATCATCATCCTAAGAAATCCAACTGACAGGTAGGTACCGTTTTTGTTTTGTTACAACTATGGCCGTTTGGCTATGTATAGTAAATACGTGTACAAGTGACTAGTGTTTCGCGCTGTAGTCAGTGCGATCTCATGTGAGGCACAAGTGCTTGCTGTTTTATCGCTGTCCAAGATGTACCTATAACAACACGAGTAAGTGGGATTTGCGCCGCTTTTAGCAATATTCCACTATTAATCACGGCGTCGGACACCTGAAATGGGCTTGACACATTATACCCATGTGGGTAATCGAACCGGGCCTTTGGCGTGACGTTGAAACGCTTTAACCATTAGGCTATCCGAACCGCCCTTTACAACGACATGATGTGCCGCGGGCTATTATGAGCAAGAATCCACATAATTAGATTATATGCACACTTCATAGGCGGATCCGCGCGCGTGTGCGTGCGTGCGTGCGTGTGTGTGAAGGGTTGCGCCTTTCTCTCCCCTTCTTTTTGACCTGAAAGTGTATTAAATGTCTCGTTGAGACAGGGGAAATGAAGTGTGCAGCCCTTTGTCAAGAAGCTGTATCCGCCCATGCACTTTCTGTGTTAATACATGTACGTAAGTCCCAAAACCTTCAAAATACATTTCAACTTACCAGAATTTTTAAAAGTAGCGTTTGTGTGATTTTAAATTATGGCGTAACTGTCTTACAATCGCCAGCTGCTGTAGGGATGGTATAAATCCAACTAGGGTCCATGCATTAAGCAAAGGTACTGTAAGTCCCCATGGTCCCTATAGTCTGTTTGCAGTGAAAACGTACCGATGAATTTAACTTTAAACAAAAAAGTAAATCGAATAAAGTGAAATTAAGATTGCGAATCCTCATAATTTTCCCTTGCCAATTGAACATTTAAAGCTCAGAATGTTATTCATCTTAGGATAAAAGTTGTTTAACAAACGATCATAGTTTCAAATCGTTATTATTGGTTTATATTACAAGGGGGAATGCACATTAAATGAAACACCGAGAAGATGTAGGGTTGGTCAAAGTCATCACGTACCACACATGCATTTGTTTCACTTTCCAACTACTGCAAACAGACTATAGTGTGGTGATCTACCTTCGGTTGCTGGCGATCTATAGCCCTTTTTTTTATCCCCCATTGCGCTTTTAGCTCGAAGCGGGGGATATAGTAATGGGCTCCGTCCGTCCGTCCGTACGAATTGGAATATCTTAAGATCCGTTGACTAGATTCTTTACATATTTGATACCTAGGTTCATCACAGTATAAGAAAGGTCACAGTCAGGTTTGGTGACCTTGACCTTCATTTCAAGGTCACAAGGGGACTTTAACGTTTTACTCTTGTCGGCGAGATATCTCAAGAACCCTTCACTAGATTTTCTTCATATTCAGCACCAAGCTTTATCTAGGGAAGGCGCAGGGCCCAGTGGTAACCTTCACTTAATTTTCAAGGTCATGGCGAAACTTTGAAGATTTCATTATGTTAACCTGCATGTTAAGATGGTCAGCTAGCTATCTCAAGAACCATTCACTGGACTTTCTTCATATTTGACACCAAGCTTCATTCAGGGAAAGTGCAAGGCCCAGACGCTTTTGGTGACCTTTACATAATTTTCAAGGTCACTGCGACGCTTTGAAGATTTCAGCATGTTAACCTGAATTCACTGGATTTTTGTCATAGACTTTCAAGACTTCCCTTGAATGTTTTTCAATAAGCAATTTCTTTAGTACCACTTTTGCATATTTTATACACTATGACATTCATGTCAAGGTCAAAGTCAGTCTTGAAAATATGTGGGGGTTTGAACAACTAAAGAGCAAGATAGCAAGAGAGGTTGACTGGTCATGTTTTTGTTGACATTTAACTTCATCTGAAACTTTCATTACTTTTTAAGTTTGATTTGATCATTTGCGGTGGGGATTATGTCACCTTAGTGACAATGCTTGACAATATTTATATAATATTGATCTAATTTGAGTTTTTTTCAGTTTGAGAAACAGATACTACTAGAGTTTTATTTCTTGTGTCTGTGATATTCTAGTTGGTTTTACTGTCCTTCGTTGACAGGATTTGAGTGATTTACATGTATTGATGATGAAGTTAAAAACTTGTTTTTGTCACGATATGGCTGAAATGTTGCCAGTGTGACTTTATATTTTAACTCACTCACTCACTCACTTAGTGTGTTCAAGGTAAAAGTAATTTGGATATAGGAGCATATACCATGTGACATTCTTTTAGACTGTCAATATACACATTTTAAAGTTTTAGGCACAATCTGTCAGTATATACATTTCACCCACAATCGAACATGTAGTTTTTTGCTTTGAGGAGCGCCCTACCTATCTTGCTGAAATCTTTTTATTAGTGCTACACCACATAAGGCTTTAACGAATACATAAAAAACGGTTTGAAAGTATACTAGCCGCATAAAGAAACTGTGCATTGTCAAAATATTATCCCAGTTGATAAGTACGATAACAATGTCAAAGGTACATAAAAACTTTAATGGAGGGATCATGAGACCATAACAAATCGGGAGAATTTCAATTGAAAAGTCAATCACAATGACGTCACGAGTCCACAAGCGGGACGGGGGTCAAACGACCATGTCACAAGCTCAATAACGGGTATGTCCACCATCGGCATTGAGAACAACAGTGCATCGACGACGCATAGAGCCTATCAAACGTGCAAGGAAGGCTTGTGGGGTCACGCCAGATTCTCTCAAGTTCTGTTGCAAGGTCAAGGAAGTTATCTGGCGGATGAGGAACACGGCGTAGACGTCGATCCATCTCGTCCCAAACATGCTCTATCGGGCAGAGATCCGGTGAATTTGCAGGCCAAGGCAGTAAGTCAACGTTGTGGTGTTGCAAGTAATCCATAGCAACCCTTGCCGTATGAGGGCGGGCATTGCCCTGTTGGAATGTTAACCCAGGGCCATGACGTTGCAGAAAGGGAATTGCCACAGGTCTAAGAATCTGATCCCTGTAGCCCACACCAGTTAAGTTGCCCTGAACAATCACCAAAGGAGTTCTTTGGCGTGCTGTTATTTCACCCCAAATCATCACGGAACCACCACCAAAGCGATTCCTCTCAAAGACTCAGGCCTGTGCATAACGATCACTCACGCGTTGACGTCCATCACTATGGGAAATGTTAAGCCTGGACTCATCTGCAAAAACAACATTTCTCCACCAAAACAAGGGTCTGCGGACATGATTTCGGCACCACATTCGGCGAGCTTGTCGATGACGTTGTGTCAGGATAGGCCGTATGGGGGGACGTCGTGGTCTGATCTCGTGATGACGTAAACGTTGTCGAACTGTGTTGGGGTGGAAACGGCGAAGTCCCGTGATGGTTCGGGCAGTCATCACTGCAGTCTGAAACCTGTGGCGAAGATGGGTCACCCTTATCCATCTGTCCTGTCTTGGCGTTGTTACACGTGGACGTCCAGAACGTGGCCGATCGATGACGTCATTTGTGTTCTGGTAGCGTCTCACCAGTGCAAAATGGTGTTCCGGTGGCAGTGGAAATGTGCAGCCACTTGTCGTTGAGACATTCCCCCACGGACCATCCCAATGGCCTCATGACGTTGTGCAGACGTAAGCCTTGGCATGCTATGCGTTTCAATAGCCGTTTAATTTTTTGAACGATCGCAAGGGCAGGGGTTGAGCTTTCCAAAGTGACAGTATTGTGTGGCATTCATTTGGTCTGTTTCTATTTCCCGGAATGCACGTGCAACAACGTATTGCAAGTCTCAAGGACGAACCCACTGACGTCACGGAACGTGGCACGTTCATGCATGTTGGATACATGTCACTAATCTCTGAGTTTAAATCCTTATGTGTCTACACAGGTTTGATAAATTTAGATTTTAATTTTTTGTATGCACAGTTTCTTTATGTGCCTAGTATAGATATTAGTTGGGTGGGCGATTTGACACACCATAGGCCGACATGAAAATTCCATTTGTTCCTGTGCTTTATAGGTGATCAAATGACTTGCTATTTCATGAGTATCAGATAGGTGGGCGGAATACGCTCATCGTTTCGTGAGCACCTGGTTTCTCAACTATTTAATACTAGAAATTCAGACACACATGCTTATGAAATATCTGGAGTCCGAGTGAGTGGAGAATATAGTGAGTGAGTTAATTTTTACGCAGCACTCAGCAATATTCCAGCTAAATGGCGGCGGTCTGTAAATAATCGAGTCTGGACCAGTCAATCCAGTCATCGACAACATAAGCATCTATCTACGCAATTTGGATACTATGACATGTGTCAACCAAGTCAGCGAGCCTGACCACCCGATCCCGTTAGTCGCCTCTTACGACAAGCTTCAGATATTGAAGATCAATTCTAACCCGGATCTTCACGGGTCTTTTAATTTAGCAGACAGATGGTGTTGGAAATGAATTTCTCACTTTATTATAAGAAAAATGAAAATGGCAACAATTGTGTGAAATTAGCTTCGGCATATGATCTGGTAAATTTAAAGGTCAAGGTATTATGTACACGTGTGTAATAATTGCAGGTTATATTCTGACTACATGATGCGAATAGGACGGTCTGCTGAGGACTTCCATGAAGCTGTCACACACGATATTCAGATTGAGGACACCTGTATGAAGAACCACACCGCGGAGGAATGCCTGTACAGCCTGGACATTGGACGAAAACTTCGGGTGGGAAATGTCTTTCACTTAGACTGAGTGAGTTTGGTTTTACGCCACACTCAGCAATATTCCAGCTATATGGCGGCGGTCTGTAAATAATCGAATCTGGACCAGACAATCCAGTGATCAACAGCATGAGCATCGATCTGCGCAACATCTGACATGTGTCAACCAAGTCACCGAGCCTGACCACCCGATCCCGTTAGTCGCCTCTTACGACAAGCATGGGTTACTGAAGAACAACTCTAACCCGGATCTTCACGGGTCTCTTTCACTTAGAAGCTTCGTATCATAGTCTATATATCCGATCAGGCTGAATCAAGAACTCATGTACTTATTCATTATTACAATATCCATTTTTCGTTCACAGACATATATTTTCCTGGGGTGCTATTCAGTGTACATGCGAGAATGGCTGAAGGTTTTTCCTAGAGAACAATTCCTTATCTTGCGAACAGACGACTACGACGACGATTTAAAACCTCAACTCAGAAAAGTGTACGACTTTTTGAAACTAAGTGAGTTTTTATCATTTCCACGTGGTTCTTTTATTTAAGAGATGCTCGGATGTATGAAGCATAAAAAGTGCATTAGAGGAAGGATAAATAAACGTAGCCATCTTTTATGTTTCCCACACATCAACTTCCAAGGTGAACGGTTCAAGTCGATTACTACCATATCCATATCATATTTCCCACTTGAAGACAACTCATTAAAAGTGACATTGTATTTCAGATTATACTGAAGAGTGGTTGACTTCCATCGCAGATGTACGTCATCTTAACGTGGGTAAGAAGAATAGTAGGATACCCATGTTGGAAAGGACTCGGGTGATCCTGGATACATTTTACAGCAGATACAATCAGGACTTGGCACATATACTACAGGACAAAAGGTTTCTGTGGTTGACGTAGTATTTGCTGCAAATGTTTGAAGTGTGTGGATTAATAACTGCAAATAAACAGTTTAAGGTGAAATTAAGACGAATTCATCATAAATTGTATAACCGTGAATAAAATGTCAACATTGTTACAGCTGTGAGAACATCCATACAGTTAGAACATCCATACAGTTAGAACATCCATACATTTATGAGAACATCAATACAGATGCTTTTTAACTACGGGGAATAAATAACAGGGAATGGTCGGGACCGACAGGTACTTCGAGTTATGTAATCTTCGAGACACCGGCATTCGACTCATCGGGATTTGACTGTACTTCCTCTTTCTAAATCTCTTGTATGTTACCCTGATAGGCTAAAAGGATCAAATATCCAACATGGATTTCGCCGTCAAGTAGTGGCAGCATGCAATATAAATTTGTATGGAGATTATACCTTTTCAGTAATGGTCGTAAACAGTTCTATATTTCAACAAACAAATATGCAGGTTACATATCTTGTTATCAACGCTGATACTTTGGTAACTGTTTGGCAAAAGGAGCCACACATAAACCTGCCCCCTCAACCATCAGCATTAGCATACCCAACCAAGGCCATGTCAACCGTCGGATTTCCCACCACACCATGAGCAAAGCCAGTATAGCCAGTCTTTGTTTACAGTTTAAAGATCATCAATACCCATCTTCGCGATAATGGCAGAGGCACTAACAGCGCAAATTCCAACCCAAGACGGGTTAGAATTGATCTTCAGCAACCCATGCTTGTAAGAGGCGACTAACGGGATCGGGTGGTCAATCCAGTTATCTTCGGGTAGTTGGAAGGAGGTGATCATTTATCAACATATCGTTGCTTCATCAAATTTCCAGTGAAAATACACAGGGCGTCATTCCACCTGATGATATCCCATCTAACATGTGAAATGTCGGTCTATGTCTACGTTTCACGGTATCTTTTGTCCAAATTTTCATACAATTCGGAAAAAGCATAACATAACTTTCATCTTTTTGTACATCTTTCAGAGGGGATTCCGCTCTTTTTCACCCAGTTTCATTACATACCTGAGGACTTCCTCTATTAATCATCTCACTCCTGATATTCTAAACGCTTTTTAATTTCCCCCCACTAACAATCTGACCAAGTCGCCGGCGATCCGTAGTACTGAGCTCTCTTGGCCTCCCTGCCCCTGGTTTGTGCTCAGTCCCAACTCCTGACTGAATATTCTTCAAAGTTCTGTATACTGTAGACAGAGTAATGTCATGTCTACCAGCTAACCCTTTTGCATTAGTCACACTCCTTTCAAAATCATCTAGAACCAGCTTTCTTTTCTCTTCTGCTTTCAAATCGGCCTTGTCAACAAAGGAAGCCGTCTGCTGCACCAGGGGAGATAACTGTTGATGTAGTAAGGTTCATTCTTAAGCCTACAAGAGGTGCCTCCCAAATTGAGTACCTTGTTACATAATATAAAACCTATTATAAAATTCTATTATCAGTATTAGGAAACAAAGATTCTGGAAAAACTGTATATCATGTTACCAGTGAGCATATGCCCGTAAGTGCATAGTTTGGGTACGTTAAGCCACGATGAAGGTTATCTGATCTAGATACGTTCAAATGCATTAACATCTTTATCAGATACTTGCCATCCTTTCTCTATCTCCACTACCCAATGGGTAATTGGAGAAGTTAATGTAAATTAAGAGATCGCACAAGCACATCACACATACAATGTACATGGATGGGTATACGCATAAGGTTAATTCCTTAAAATCAAGCAGATATTCAACATCATAGATACATGTTATTAAGATTTAACCAAGATGAACAAAGGTTATTAGGATATCGTTGTGTGACATTTCACCAATAAGGAGAACAATTTGACGTTGAGGTGTCACCCATCTTCATCTAACTCACTAAAATTCCATAATGTCTGGACAAACAATAACAGTTAACAGCTACACGACTGCTGATGTGGCGTTTATAAAAATAATTACTCTGTTCCTCCTTGGTGAGTTGAAGTTATACAATTCATATCTAAGATATGTTATAATTCCACGTCATGGTTTTGAGTGTATCTGTGGTACAGCATATGGTTTACACATTACGGTGCGTTAACCGGAGCAATAAAATGTCTTCAGTGGTCAGTTCTAATCTCAGCTAACAGCATTGGATATAGTACTATTCTGCTCACATATGAATTGCTGTGAAATAACCACGGTAAGCTGTGTTTGCGGAAAGGGCACATTTTGGGTTACTTCTGGCACCCGTTAAATCAAAATGATTTTTTGGTTTGGTCGTAAACTTATTGTCCCCCGTAGAGCGTACGTACGACTACGTCATTCAAAGAACATTTATTCGTACCATGATTTAAATGTAAGGATATGTGTTCATTTAATTCATGGCTAAGTTCGTCAAAATCGCTAACAACTGAAGGGATGGTGTAAATACAGCTGGGGCCCATGCAGATAGCAAAAGTACTGTAAGTCCCCATGGTCCCTTGCATGGTGATCTACCTTCAGTTGTTGGCGATCTATAGCCTGTTTTTATATTATGTATTGTCCAAATTGTGCTATTACTTCACATGCTAGTTTTACGTTAGAACTGTGATAGTCTAGTTGTTTTACTGTCCTTTGACGGCAGGTTTTATAATATATACATATTCTTTATAAACGTCAAATTTGTTCTCGTCACGATATGGCTGAAACATTGCCGATGTGACGTTAAATATTAACTCACTCACTCACTCACTGGCACCCGTTAAAACACACGCAAAGGCAAGTCACCAGAACAAAACGTGATATTATGGTACAAATGAAAAATAGGACTCTTTATTCCCTACTTCTATGTCAGAAAATAATCAATTTATACTGCATACATGGCTTTCATCTTAAGTAGCCCCACTCATGCAAATGCAACAAGAAACAAACACGCATGCACACACACACAAATAAACAAACAAACAAACAACAACAACATACCATGTAAAGGCCACACAGAGTGCAAGTTGAATATTCGACCTATGAACTTTTGTCTAATGTGGGAGAAATTCAGAAATATAGGTATGGTCTTAAAAAACCAATAAGCTTATCCATGACATGTTTCGATTCATACCTACAGGATCCTGGCAGGTTATACAAAGCGCTAAGTCTCTGAAAATAGGAAACTGTGATAGAAATAGATAACTATATGAAAATATATATTCACTTCTGCAAGGTGAATGCTATCATTTAAAGACAAAATTACGAGTCAAATTTCAGACACGTCCGTAGGAAAAAGGGAATTTTCTAACCCTGCCAATCCAATCCATTACATGTACATGAAGCTTCAATGTCATAATTAGTTATAGCGCTGGATACTGGTCAATGAGTGTTTTGCTGGAAACACAGATCTGGACATTGCCAAGCAGAACCTTCCCTTCATTGAACAAACGCTGTGCTGATCACAGCTGGTGACCAGATAAACTCTTTTGGAACAATGAAATTGACGACAGCCTGCTTGGTAGGGTTCATCGGGGCGAGGTCTGTCAATATGTATATACGAAAACAAGGCTATGACTATATCTAATGCATCCTACACGTCTGCCAACGTCTATACCAACTTCTGTGCGTGTATTGAACAGGTAATAGTGATTATATGTAAATTCCTTCTGTGAGGTATGACTTGTGCAGAGACCAGTTGATATAGACATAGAGCCTGTTGTCTGTAATGGTACTGGGAATTACCGACAATCCATATCATGAAACTGACTAATAGTATGCATATATTCATTACCTTCTCATAGGTTCCCAAATATGTTGGACCCGTAAAGAATGTGGGTTAGAATTGCTCTTCTTAACCCATGTTGCCATAAGGGGGAACTTACGTGTTCTCACTTGTTTGATGCATGCGATCGTACCCCACTTGCTAATATGGATGTTCATAATGTCATGTACCTTGTGTAAATCATATGTGAATATCATTAAAATGGAGGCCTGCATATTGTTATAAACAATATAGTACAAGCAAACTGTTCATATAAATATTATCTAGAAATATATTTGAGTTGTCCACAAAACAACAAACAAAACAAACACATAATGCTTTACATTTAAAGCAAAACGTTTCTTTCGTATTAAGTCTTTATCAAATATTCCTCTGTGATAAAGTTGCAAGTGTAATGTAATGGAATGTAATATAGTGAGAGCAATGAGAGAGCCTGCCGCCTGCCTAGCGCTACACCTCACTTGTGGTTCAAATCCTGTTTAGCCGACCGAAAACATTCTGTGGTTGTAAACAGCACAACATCAGACTCATGTGATCTTAACTGCGGAGTTCCACAAGGTTCAATATTAGGTTCTATCTTGTTTATACTATATACTCGATCGCTCAGCAAGATTGCAGACAAGCATGGTCTAAAGCAACATCAGTATGCTGATGATAATCAGATATACATCAGATTCACGATTGGGAATGCAGATACAAGTGTGATCAAGGTAGAACTATGTTGCAATCAAGCAATGGATGCTGTGTCATCTACTAAAAGTCAATCAGGACAAGACAGAGTTCATGGTAATAGGCACAAAAAGCATCTCCAACAGTGCAGCCGTATTCCCCGGCTTGTCATTGGAGAATCCGTCATCATTCCATCAGCAAAATTGAAGAATTTGGGTGTACTGTTTCACCAACAGCTGAGTATGAATCACCATGTTACTCGTGTGTGCCAGACTACAAACTATCATCTCAGAAACATCGAGAAGATCCGTCATACTTCACCAGACCTGCTGCACAAGCGGTGACTGTTTCCCTTATTTTTTCCAGATTGGGATATTGTAATTGTTTACTTATTTCAGTCATTGTACACTTTGCCTGATTGTAAACATTGCCTGTAACATCAATACCAGTACAGAACAGATCAAAAGACTTCAAACCCTTCAGAACACTGCTGCCAGAGCGTCAAAGTTTGACCCCATTTCCCCAGTACTCAAAGAGCTCCATTGGTTGCCAGTTTCATTCCGCATTGACTATAAAATACTTCTGTATCCCTACAAGTGTTTTTTTTACAAAATTGCTCCACCATACCTTACTGAACTACTCAACAGCTATCGTCCTCCGAGACCTCTGAGATTACGAAAGCAAAAACGTTTCACCATTCCAAAAATTCAGACCTCAACTTTTGGCAAGAGAACATTCAAATGTGCAGCTGCAGAAAAATGGAACTGTCTACCCGAAAACCTTAAATGTGCCTCTTCACTTCAGGCTTTCCCTTGCTAAGCGCACAGAGCATAGGACTGTGAATGATGCGCAATAGAAATTCATGGATTATCATTATTATGTAATATCATCAGCATTGTCACTGTTATGACTTTATCTTCAAATGATGCAGTACTTGCATTTTGAACATTGTGATTCCACGATCTTGCATTTAGTCTACCATTCCCAGCACATAATGTAATTGAATATGTAAGTGTGCCTTTCTATGTATGTTGTCTGTCACTTAAAGACTCGGAAAATTGATGTTTGTATCCAAGTGAAGTAAATAAAGAAACCTATATAAACTATATAAAACTATATATTCCTCTTGTTCACGTTAGTGAGCTGACTCTGTCGTCATACCGAGTTCCTGCTACAAAGTTAGTTCAGTGTCCATATTTTCCAACATATTTCTTTTGGTTTGACTGAGCATCCATGCATAGAGAATGTATTGATAGCAAATAAAATGACACACAAGTCATTGGTTTGGCATGTGTTTCTCTAAATAGTCTAAATAGTTGCAAATCAGACCTCATTTATACTTAAAGTGTGCCAAACATTTGAAATTGTACAATTTACTAATCATTTCTATCTCCGCAAATTAAATGGAAACGTTTTACTTCTAAATACTGTCTGAAATTGTGGACTGTCCAAAGTATTACACATTGTATGAGGGACGGACGGACAGTCAGTTTGATCAATGTCTGAGGCCATATGGCCCAGAGTACAATTAGACACATTGCATGGTGATATGTTACTTATAGCATATGGATTTAGCATGAGAATATCACTTACTATACAAATGCCTTTTCAGAAAGATGGCTTATCCTTTTAAGATGTTGCTGATTGTTGTTGACATAAAATCTTTAGGTTTCTGTCCTCATGGATGATAGTATATGCTTATGGGTAACAACATCTCTCTGCTTGACTTATAGTGAGGACACACTAACGCAAAATTATATCTGTCCTCGATATCCATGAAATTATATTTATTGCAGATTAGGCATTTAAGATCAAACGCTTTACTAAGTTTTTCACCTGTATTTTAAACCATGTGCTAAATATCGGAATGCGGTTAGAATTCTCAAAAGACCTTTCTCAAAATGTTACATTATGTATAATCCAGGGTTTAGTGTTGATTATTATGAACAATAATAATATGTGGAATACAAGAGCATTAATTTTTTATACCAATTTGGATTTGATATCAATGCATGTGCTAAGTAAAATGTTCATTTAATACAACTCATCCTCAAATTGCTTTGATGTATGGTGTCATTCACATTAGCGAGATGTCTTGTATCGGTGCGTTATTCAATGCGGAAGAGTGCTGCTGTCAATAAGAAAAGTCTGTGAAAATACTTTTATTCCCAACCTGCTAAATCTTAAATTACTAATAGGTACATATGCACAGGGATGTTCTACTTTCCGGTTAAGTAACTCAAAGTTGAACAAGTTATGCTTGTACTTTCCTATTTTAAGCAAATACGCGGCTTTTCTGGAGGTGTGGAGACGTATCGATGCATTAACACCCTGGAGAGATACATCCTCCCTTTTCGCTGTTTCCACTATCCCAACTATCCTATGGAAACTTGGAGAAAGTAATGCCAAATAATAGATCCAACAAGCAGATCGCGCACACAATGTACATGGATGTGAAGTAGCACGTATGCTCACACACGTGGGTATATTTTCACGAATTGAATCTGCTAACTTTGTTCATCTATTTGTTCTACTCTTCTCTTGCTACCATACGTAAATCTATACAGCGGTTAAAGCGTTCGCTCGTCACGCCGAAAACCCTGGTTCGATTATAATGTGTGAAGCCCATTGCTGGTGTCCCACCGCCGTGATATTGGTGGAATATTGCTAAAGGCGGCGTAAAACTCACTCATGTATGCATATGGAAATATCGCGGCACTGACTGACTGAGTATGGTTTTACGCCGCTTTTAGCAATATTCCAGCAACATCACGGCGGGGGACACCAGAAATGGGCTTCACACATTGTACCCATGTTGGGATTCGAACCCGGGTCCTTCGCGTGACGAGCCAACGCTTTAACCACTAGGCTACCCCACCGCCCCGTACAACCGCAGAAACAACGCGATACATCAGAGATGAACCTCCCGGAAAGAAATATCCAATGACCAACCAAACCCGAGTTGAGTAAACGTTAGCAGCTGTGTATATCTAGCAGATCTCGTACACCAGGAACAACGTAAGGGGTTTATACAAACCAACTTTATCATACTCAACGGCCTCCTAATCGCATCATGAAGCACCACTGTGACCAAGATAATCCTGTCGCCACTGCCACAGGGGCAATATCAAACTGGAATAAACATGAGAAAATACAACTTTACACTTATTATCTTCTTTGAAACATTTCAAAATGTCATTCCTTTTGAGTTTATAAAGTTCCGGATTGAGGTTATCCAGATTGGCAATGAAACCACGAACCATGCCATACATGAAGACGTCATCGACCCAGAAGATGGGAACAAGTAGTGTTGCTTTATACAAAGCTGGAATTATGGATCCAGCCATAGTCACCGCAAAACCACTACAGAAGTCCACTGGAAAAGTGTCGTAATGTCTGAACTGATATTTCTGTACAGCCCATTTTCCTCGTCTGTTTACTTTAACTGCATGACGACTGTACAAAACCCGACACAGGATACTGTTTGTGGAGTTTATCTTATGATATATGTGTGAGAAAAAGTTGTAAAGATCCACGTAAACATCATCATCGATTTTGACGACGTTTTTCACGTTTCTGCAATTGTGGCTGATCCATTTTAATCCCATGACAGCTTTATACGTCAGGTTCCTATAGGTGTCCAGAAACCGACCTTGGACAATGTCTCTGTATTGGTTGAATTCTTGGTTGATCTTATCCTGGAGTTTGGCATCGTCACTTTTTATTCCCAGAAGAAACAGTAGTCGAATGGTGTAGTTTTTGTAGATTGGGGCTTTGTTAAGAACAGTCCTAAATATACGGCGGCGATCGGGATTGCGAACAGCACTGTGCACAACGAGGAGGAGATCGACTTGAGAAACACCTTCACATAACATTTTATTTTCCAGAGCTATGCTTAACAATGCATCAGTCTCACCTCGCTTCAACCTATGGAGTTTTATGTTGACACCGTCGACGTCGCTGTAATAAACCTCTTTCAGGTCACGCTGTTCGTGATATGTATCTATGTCTGCGGTGTTCTTGTTATTAAATCTTTGTAATCCAAATATGTACAACACAATGGAGACAGAGAGTTGGAGCATTACCAAGAAGATGAACACACCGTTTGCTCTAAAATGCATAATGCATAACTCGTCACAACAAGAAACAAGTGTGGCGCCTATACAGATCTGGAGCTCAGTTTAAAGAGCAACACACAAGATTCATTGTCTTCCAAATCCAGCGTCTGTCCATGTGCTGTAACATATAACGGATGGAACGGGTTAGTATCTGCTTAGTTATCTCTCAGGGCCAACTTAAAGTTTAAAGTTTAAAGTCTTTGAACTTCATATAGAAGAGATACACTTAATGATAAGAAATTAGGGATGTAAACTTTTTGTTTTGAGGAACACGACGTTCGGGGGTATATTCTGACTCCTTCATCATGTGAATGAAAAACACGGGGAAACAGATAACTATTAGGGGTGGGTATTGCAGAGAATTTTCATATTGCGATATATTGCGATGCGAAAGCATATATTGCGATATGTATTGCACTATAATGAAAGAAGTTCTTTTTTAACCACAAAAAAACCTACTTATAATCGAATTATAATCGAATAATGCTTGATTTATAAGCAAAAACACATAAAATTACTATGCTTGATTAACCTTTAATAAAAAAATAAACAATAGTTGCCCCAAATAAAAAAGGAAAGGAAGAATTAGAAAACGGAAACATCCGAAGATTTCCGAGTGTTACGAAATTTTCCGAATGCATGTCAAAATACCGGTTTTCGATCAGCGTATCGCAATATGTATCGTTTTCATGGCTGAACTGGTAAACCGGTTATATTGCGCAGCCCTAATAGCTATATAAGTGCATGTGAAACAACAACAGTGATAAGACAACAAGGGAAGCAAGTAGTTAATTGGCGCTCGTTGGTAAGGGCAATGGACAATTAGAAGCCAAGGATTAATCCACGCATTAATGTTGAGATAACCATGGAAACCAGTGGTTAATGGCTCTGATAGGTAAAGACAATGGCGTAGTTTTATAAAGAATGTTTGGATAATTTATGCATGCTTCAATATTTTAAACATTTTAATCCTTGCCTGTCTGAGTGAGGGAGCTAAAATTTTACGTCACATCGGCAATATTTCAACCATATCGTGACGAAAAAAGTCATAAAATGACAATAAATATATTTATACTTTTTAAAAAGCTGTCGAAGGACAGTATAACAACTAGATTATCACAAATTAATAAAAACTAGTTTGCGTTCAGTGTAAAATGCTTCATCATTTCCGAACAACACAATATAACATCGGGCTATAGAGCGCCAGCAACTGAAGGTAGATCACCATGCTAGTGGCCATGGGGACTGACAGTACTTTTGCTACCTGCATGGACCCTAGCTGGATTTACATCAGCTCGTCAGCTCTTGGCGAATATTGAGCTATTTAGCCATAAATTAAAATTACAAGCATTCAACGATTAAGATAATCAAATACTTTGAATTATAGGGTCTTAAGTACCCTATTCAGATGACAATTCAGATGACAATGCTACTTCAACCTCATCTGAGGGTACAGCCACTAACAATCAAAGTTATTTATTCATTCGACCAAATAAAATAAAAAGAACTTATTAATTACTGTACATGATCACAATTCATGAATCAAATCAATTTCCTTTAGAAAACCAAGAACTAAATGAGGATTTATATTAAAAAGACTCCTTAAAATTGAAACTGAAATATCGATCCCTTGTAATGGAAACAATCCTTACCTCTCTCTCTTAGGCTGTCGACAACAAGATGACTTCAACATAACCAACCTCAAACTGTGTTTCGTTTGGAAATCAATGGTCATATGTCGTATTGTCAGGCACGTTGAAGGTTATGCTGCAACATAAAATATACGTATTGTCCTCTGTGCCATGTGTTGCATTTGCAGACGCTGAACGTTGCTTGTCGATACAGTGAAGGACTTGAATGAATTACGTTTAGGCAGTGAAGCATCTGCTATGTACTGAGGACCGCCTCCGTGGTGTAGTGGTGAGAGCGTCCGCCCCGAGAGCGGAAAGTCGCTGGTTCGATCCCCGGCCGCGTCATACCAAAAGACGTTAAAATATGGTACTTGTTGGTCCCTGCCTGGCGCTCGGCATTAACGGGTACAACAAGGACTGGTCGTCTCGGAGTCAGTATAATGTGTCTGAGTGGGGTATTCATGCTTCACTGCGGCATGGTATCTCAGTGGGCTAGCACTATAAAACCAGCTTCAGTCTGGGCTAGTACAAGCAGCCGCACTTACACATACACACGCATGCACGTCGCCATATGAGCGAAATATTCTCAAGCACGACGTTAAACCCAATTTCCCCTCACCTCGCCTCTGTGCCATGTGTTGCATTTGCAGACGCTGGACGTTGCTTGTCGATACAGTGAAAGACTTGAATGAATAACGTTTAAGCAATGACACATCTGCCATGTACTGAGACTCGTGAATGAGAAAACTGTGCATTACCTCTCTGTGATAATGTCTTCATTTATATATCTGGTGATTTATCTCTTAGCGGAATATGAAGGGATGATGTAAATTCAGGGGCCATGCAAGAAGCAAATGTACTGACAGTCCTCATGGTCTTTAGTGAGTGAGTGAGATAGTGAGTTTAGTTTTACGCCGCACTCAGCAATATTCCAGCTATATGGCGGCGGTCTGTAAATAATCGAGTCTGGACCAGACAATCCAGTGATCGACAGCATGAGCATCCATGGTCCTTAGTATGGTGATCAACTTTCAGTTGTTGGCGATCTATAGCCTCGTTTTATATGTCTTGTACTCTGTAGTTCAAATATTTTAGATTTAATTACTAGTTTTAAATGTATATCTGTGATCATATTGTTGTTTTACTGTCCTTTGTTGACAGGATTTCAATATTTACTGTCTATTACTATAAATCTATAATTTGATTTAGTCACGATATGGCTGAAATATTTCTGATGTGGCTTAAAATATTAACTCACTCACTCACTCAGCGGAATATGGCTTGGTATAAGGTATAAAATACAGTATATCACTTTTACAACAGTAATATGACCACGAGGCATAGATTCGAAATATATTTGAACTCAATAACAGTAAAACTTCGTTTATCCGGATCCTGTTAAACTAGAAAGATGCATAATTTATACTGGGTCCATTTACAGTGTATGGAGAGAAATGTACACGTGACCATTTGTTCTTCGGAACTATTTCTCGAGAAAAAGTATGATAAACGCTACTCAATCTGTAGTTTTATGTATCGAGAAAATCCCAATCGCTGTCTATTTGAATGCCTTGAAGTAACAATGTTATTACTAAACGATCAAACCATTTCATAAACAGTTGATTTCCTGAGTGGAATGCATATTTAACGAGGGACATCAGCTGCGTGTGAAATGAGATGTTGTGTTTGAAATTGCCAACAAAGATGTTTGATCAATGTTCAACAAAAGGCCGTCCGTCATGTGCTTGTGTCCTCATATCGATACAGTATGTGTAACATATGGGCATGCAAATCACCAATCAATCATCTAGTATTCGGTTGAAACCTGAAGGTTACCAACCAATCAGATTCTATCCCAAGTGTTTGGACACTCGTGCTTCTGGACCCTTTCTTAGATTACCTGTTGATAATGAGAACCTTTTTAAACAGGTTCTGTTATTGATGGTCTGCATCTCATGCCCTTTATTTTAATGGAATTCGTTATGTAGTAAAGATGTGAGTAATGTAACTTGGAAGAGATTTCAAGCAGTAGCGTACCTGCCATAAGGCACTTTATGCACGTGCCTACTCTTAATTTTTTTCGGCATTTTATTTTACATGTGATATGTTATGGAATTATCTCCCTTTTTATGAAAGGTTGATAACTCTCATGCTACTTTGATGCCAACATGGCGTGACATCAGCATCAAGCGAGATATCCTTCTGTGCAATGAGGAGGATCAAGAGGTACCATGCCCCCAAACCACCCAAGAAGTGGGTTTTGCCTACATTTCATTTCTTTCCTGGGCACACCCTTGCCAAGTGCCAATATGTATTCCTCAAGGTGGTAATGGTCCTCCCCCAGCCTTTGTGATATTAGTGGAGTGATGCCAAATGCGAATATTCCAGTCACCACTTCGAGAGGATTCCCGAAAAATAGACGCAAAACTTTGTACCCAAACTACTATTTTCAGATGAGGAAAACGAGGATTGACATTTTCAATAATGGAGGAAGATTTCTTAAATTTGAGAAAAAACAACACCTTTCCAATGCCATTTCCAGATAAACATCATGTGTTTGAACTAGCTGATCATGATTTCCCCTATTGGTACTCGACTAAAGTCACCGCCATTCCTGTTATATTATAACGCTACAAGGTTTTTGACATGGTTATATCTTAATTCCTCTAATAGTACGACACAAAGAACAATATGTGAGCTCTGCAATTGCTCATAGATCGTTCAGGAAGTTTCAAATTATATAAACTAACATACATACAAAAGTCATACAGACATCCACATACCCTTTGACAGAGTGATGGAGCATGGCTTTACATCGCTATAAGCAATATTCCAGCAATATAACCATGTGGGGAATCGAAGCCGGGTCTTCGGCGTGACGGCCGAACGGTTTACTCACTAGGCTACTCCAATTGTTATTAAAAAAGTATACACGTACACACTGATCAAAGATGTATGCAATATTAATTTCGTAGGATTAAGAGAAATAGCAACACTCTTACAGACTGCCTGTTCCCTGAGGTATCTCTATACCTGCTGGCCATTACGAGATATATTAAACAACAGCTAGACACTGGGATCAACTTTACAGATTATACACCAGGTAGACACTGCAATATAGTCTACAGATTATACAACAGGAAGACACTGGGATCAACTCTACAGATTATACAACAGGCAGACACTGCGATCTAGTCTACAGATTATACAACAGGTAGACACTGGGATCAACTCTACAGATTATACAACAGGTAGACACTGCGATCTTGTCTACAGATTATACAACAGGTAGACACTGGGTTCAACTCTACAGATTATAAAACAGGCAGACACTGCGATCGTGTCTACAGATTATATATACAACAGGTAGACACTGCGATCACGTCTACAGATTATACAACAGGTAGACACTGCGATCTAGTCTACAGATTATAAAACAGGTAGACACTGCGATCTAGTCTACAGATTATACAACAGGTAGACACTGCGATCAAGTCTACAGATTATAAAACAAGTAGACACTGCGATCACGTCTACAGATTATACAACAGGTAGACACTGCGATCAAGTCTACAGATTATACAACAGGTACACACTGCGATCAAGTCTACAGATTATAAAACAGATAGACACTGCGATCACGTCTACGTATTATCAACAGGTAGGCACTGCGATCAAGTCTACAGATTATACAACAGGTAGACACTGCGATCAAGTCGACATATTTTAAAACAGATAGACACTGCGATCACGTCTACAGATTATACAACAGGTAGGCACTGCGATCTAGTCTACAGATTATAAAACAGATAGACACTGCTATCAAGTTTACGTATTATACAACAGGTAGGCACTGCGATCAAGTCGACAGATTTTAAAACAGATAGACACTGCGATCAAGTCTACGTATTATACAACAGATAGACACTGCGATCTAGTCTACAGATTATAAAACATATAGACACTGCGATCACGTCTACGTATTATACAACAGATAGACACTGCGATCAAGTCTACGTATTATACAACAGGCAGACACTGCGATCAAGTCGACATATTTTAAAACAGATAGACACTGCGATCACGTCTACAGATTATACAACAGGTAGGCACTGCGATCTAGTCTACAGATTATAAAACAGATAGACACTGCGATCAAGTCTACGTATTATACAACAGGTAGACACTGCGATCTAGTCTACAGATTATAAAACAGATAGACACTGCGATCACGTCTACGTATTATACAACAGATAGACACTGCGATCAAGTCTACGTATTATACAACAGGTAGACACTGCGATCAAGTCTACAGATTTTAAAACAGATAGACATTGCGATCACGTCTACGTATTATACAACAGGTAGGCACTGCGATCAAGTCGACAGATTTTAAAACAGATAGACACTGCGATCACGTCTACGTATTATACAACAGGTAGACTCTGCGATTACGTCTACAGATTATACAACAGGTAGGCACTGCGATCAAGTCGACAGATTACACAACAGGTAGACACTGCAATCTAGTCTACATATCAGCCAGGGGAAATAGTAATATTTTCTTTCTTAGGGTGTGAATATGTTATGTGTTGTTGCACTGTGAGTGATATGGTGTTCGTCAATTTTAAGACACTGTGTGATATATGTTGGAATGTTGTCCTGTGAACAATGTGAAGTGCAACACGTTTGTACAATGTAAATATACTAAGTGTTGTTGTAAAGTACGCCCCTCCCAAAGTCCTGAAAGTGTATTAAATGACAATTGAAACTCTCGTGAATACGGGTCAAAATGAATAGAGGTGTGACGATACAGAAATTTCACGATACGATACGTATCGCGATATCTTGGAACGATACTATTCGATTCCATGCATATCACGATATGCTTTCTTTAGTTATTTGCCATACAAATCATATTTTAATAGTAAGAAACTTTGACATAACCGTCAATATCTAATGAAAATTAACAATGTTAAGGTCAACGATACATATCACGATACGAAAAAACGTATCGATATATTTATCGTCAGATAAAGTATCAAGATTATCGATACTACGATATGTCGTCGTAGCTCTAAAAATGAAGTGTGCACCACCACCCTACCCCACGCTCACCCCTCTTTCTAAAAAATGTGCACACTAAATACATATACCTACATGCATCATACTTCTTGGAACATGAACGCCTAAGATCAATGTTGCTCATGCATGCAACATGACCCTGGGTGATATCGTGGTAACCTGAAACATGAACAACTGTCTGAAAAAGCAGGGAGCATGTGTTCTGTATTGAACAGGAAAGAGATTACTCAATAGACACTGGAAATCGGACTCGAACACACGAACACATTCGTGTGCATTCTGCTCGTCACATATTTTCGCGAGAGGAGTTGGATTGGAGATTGTGTCTGGCAGGGTGATGCCTATCCATGCTTAGGGCTTTGATCATGGGATGTTGAGCAGGAAACAGAAAGTCTTCTGTTTCACTTTTCAGGCGAGTCGACTTCATCCAAGCGAATGAAAGGCTCAACAGAGTTGCTATTCCTGGCAAAATGCTGCACCATACATGTCCTCGAATGTTGAGAAGTTCAATGTATACTACCCATCAAAAGTTTAGAATCACTAGTGTAAATGTAGCCACTTACTTCGGTCAACTGTTCTAAACGAGACTTTGCAAAATATTCCATACTGTTTAAAGGCACTGATTACACATGAACTGATGTCTTGTAAAACAAATTCGTAATGTTTAAAAGATTATTGTCATGAGTTCAATAAATGATGAAACTCTGAAAATTGGCGAATTCTTAACAAAACTTTACACCCAAACGCAAATGTTCACATGCACAATATTTGCACATGCTTTTCAGCAATTTGATGCATGATCATCGTGCAATATATCTGCATAAAGTTTGCAGTTGGTTCCCCCAAGTTAGTGGAGAAATTCATCTTCGATGTAACCATTGGTATATACATAACATATAGTGAGAGCTGTAGTCTAAACTTTTGATGGGTAGTATATTAATATTAAATCATCCACATGTATGCGTTCATGCATATCCACATGCATAAGCTCCAAGTAAGTTAGTCAGTAAAATTGTTCTTATTCCTCGTTGTGTCAGATAGACGAGCTCAAGTTACAGTCCAGGCCTTGGGCTGTTGCGACAGACCTTGAGTAAGGATACTTGAGTAAAAATCATTCTGTTATTATTTCACGCAACGTCTGTGTTTTAACGCGTTAATTTGTGTTTAAAAGCCCCGGTATGTTTCCAGGTATCTGATTATGATTCTCCTGTTTGTACAATGTTATGCCATGGGGAGTACAGGAATGTTTTTCTGTCTCAGGAAATCCGTCACAACACAAGCGACATGTGGACGGGCATTATCTCGCTGAAGCGAGAAGTTTCTGTCCTTGAATGAACGGCTGCACATGTGGCCCAACGATCTCATCTCTGTATCGCAGTCGCCCGTATCCCCCCATACTTTTAACGATGAGAAACTCTTTCTTTGAGTGGCTTTATAGAAGTTGCATATGTATATCAGTATGTTCAGATACAATTGAAGAAACATGTTAAAACTCTTCCTTATCAGATGAGGAATATATACATGTATTTATGTTTTGCCTAGAATGAAATTTAAGGGGGTTACGGGCGGAGGTATTTCCGTTCCAGTCTCCAGCATACCCACGGCGCGGAGACGCTGATTTTCTGTAAGCCGTGGCATGACATACATATAATTTCAGTTTAGGTTGAAAGGAACGTGGTTTCCAGTACTTATAGTCTGTTTGCAGTGAAAACGTACCGACGAATTTCACATTAAACAAAAAGTAATCAAATAAAGTGAAAGTAGGATTACGAATCCTCATAATCTTACCTTGCCAATTGAACATTTAAATCACAGAATTTTTGTTCAACATAGGATAAAAGTAGGATAACAAATGATCTTAGTTTCAAATCCCTATTATTGGTTTGTATTACAAGGGGGGTACGCGCAGTAGTTTGAACTGTGAAACAAATGCACGTGCGGTACGTGATGAGCGTTAACTAAGACTACCGTTGAAACGAAAACTTCTTGTTCTCGGAGTTTCATTTAATGTGCATACCCCCTTGTAATACAAACCAATGATAGCGATGTGAAACTATGATCGTTTGTTAAACAACTTTTATCCTAAGTTGACGAACAATTCTGAAATTTTAATGTTCAATTGACAAGGTAAGATTATGGGGATTCGCAATCTTAATTTCACTTTATTTGATTTACTTTTTTGTTTGAAGTAAAATTTATCGGTACGTTTTCACTGCAAACAGACCACAAAACCACTTGTAGCGTTCAGTGGATTATTATAAAAGGCACAGGTTCAGCTGTGTATATTTTATCCACATTTGAGTGGTTAAGGACGTACGTGGAATTCTGTTTCCTAAGCAGTGATGTCAAGTTTGGAAAGTGTGAGTTACCATGGGCTTCGGCCATGGCATAATCAGTTCGGTACATGTTAGTGTGTGAGAATGGTTTTACACCGCTTTTAGCAATATTCCAGCAATATCACGGCGAGGGACACCAGAAATGGGCTTCACACATTCCGACCATGTGGGGAATCGAACCCGGGTCTTCGGTGTGACGAGCGAACGCTTTAACCACTAGGCTATCCCACTGCCCAATTCGGTATATGTAGTGCAGATGGTGTGAGAAAGTGAGAAAATCACACTGTAACATGCAAAAACTTCGTACATATATATCTGTATCATATTATCACCAAGGAACAATATACGGGATGGTAGGACTGACTGACTGATTATGGTTTTACGCCGTTTTAGCAATATTCCAGCAATATCACGGCGAGGGGCACCAGAAATGGCCTTCACCATTTGTACTCATGTGGGGAATCGAACCCGGGCCTTCGGCTTGACGAGCGAACGCTTAACCACTAGGCTACCCCACCGCCCCGGGATGGTAGGAGAATCATGAAGAAATGTGGTGATGTTAATGTCGGAGATGTAATTGCTAAACTTACATTAACCTCTGTGAATGTAGATACCGAAGACAAGCACGTGTTTCCTCCAGAATATGAAAATTGTCCATGTCTTGACGAGTCTCCAACAATTGAAAGACTGTCATTGTCATTTTAGCCCAATCCAGAACTATATATCTTTTATGCAATATAGTTTACAAAAATAATACAATACTGTGTAATCAGCTGATTAACGGTCGGGGTTTTATTTTGAAAAATACATTGTACAGGAACATTTTGCAACGAACTGACTATGTTTCACACATACATAACTGCGATTGAATTCAATCCGTAGCTGCTTTTGCTGTCATAGCTGAAGACTATGTAGTCTCCATACACCTAATAGTCCTCTGCTGTATTCTGGTATAACATGTTGAAGAAATCTATATTGAGAATTTGATCCCGCAATTACATTTTCAGGAATTAACAAGACATTCAGAATGAGGTATTTGTTTCGAAAGAAATTTATCCAAGACCAACTGGAAGAATGTTTACGCTTCTTTCATGATTGGGAATTATGACTTTGTCAATATTGTTTGAAGCGTATAATTAACTGAACTGTTTGTGTTTATTTGTTTATTGTTGTATTTTATATCCCCCACAATTAAGATTAAGTTTTAAGGCAACTATTATGTCAACCACAGAAACATCTTGTCCTGCAGCATATCTGCCAAGTCCTGATTATATCTGCTGTAAAATCCGTCCAGTAGGACACGGGTCTTTTGAAGCATGGGTCCCATTCTTTTCTTCTTCTTACTGGCATTTTGATGAGGGACACGCGTGATGGAGGCCAGCCACTCTTCAGTATAATCTGAAGTAAAATGACACTTTGATTGAGCTGTCCTCAAGTGGGAATATTAGTAACTGGGTTGTTCCAGGATGTTGATGCTTTAAAAACGTAAATGAAGACTAGACTATTGTAGTCAAAAGAAACTTATGGAAGAAAGAGATGAAAACTTACTTAGTTTCAAATAGTTGTACACTGTTCTTAGCTGAGCTCCTGGATCTTTATCGTGGTCCTCTGTACGCAAGATCAGGAATTGGTCTCGCGGAAACACATTCAGCCACTGTCGCATATACACTGAATAGCACCCCAGAAAAATACGAGTCTGAAAGAAAATATATGGATTGTAATATGTGTTTTTATCAGTTGTTGGAGTGTGCTTAAAATTGATTTACTGTTAGTCTCACAATATTGGTAAATGTTCGTTACATTCTTGAAGGTCTCTAGTTACTAGATTTCAGAAGTTCTCACTCGAAGTTTACGTGCTAATTCCAGGCTGTACAGACATTGTTCATCAGAATGGTTGTTCATGCAGGCCTCCTCGATCCGAATATCTCCACTCACAGCTTCATGGAAATCCTCAGCAGACCGTCCGTGTTTCATCGTGTAGTCAGAATACAACCTGCAATTACATTACATACTTCTATTAAGAGAGAGAGAGAGAGAGAGAGAGAGAGAGAGAGAGAGAGAGAGAGAGAGAGAGAGAGAGAGAGAGAGAGAGAGAGAGAGAGAGAGAGAGAGAGAGAGAGAGAGAGAGAGAGAGAGAGAGAGAGAGAGAGAGAGAGAGAGAGAGAGAGAAATGCCCCCAACCCTATCTCAATCTATCATAAAACTGGTAACAGTCTTTCTAAAACCTTTCATGGTGAAAGCCTGATAACGGTATTTTTGCAGGAATGGCAACATGGTAATGGAATTTAAAATCTTGGTAGAAACTGCATGTTCGATTGTACCTCAGAACATGTGAGTGAAATAAGTTTTGCACCGCTTTTAGCAATATCTCGGTTGGGAGACCAGAAATGGTCTTGCCACATTGTATCAATGTGGGGAACTGAACCTGAGTCTTCGGCATGAAAGCGAGCAATTGAACGACTAGGCTACTCCACCAAAGAGAATAAGGGGACGCCTACTTCTTAGTTTAATGTCCCAAAATGAAACACAGAACTTTTCCAACAACTAGTCATTTAACCTGTTGATTTCTCAGCAACATTAAGCTGATTTGCTTTCACTTTTGACACATCGTCCTGAACCTTTGAAGGTAGGGATGACACTGTGGCTATACCTAATTGAACTAACTTATGGTTAATCTTTCAGACAGTGATTTGGAGGTACAGTCGACCAAGCCAAATATCTATCTTCGTGCAAAGTTTAATGGAGTTCTGAAATGTTTTCATGTGACAAAAATCCAAAAGAAAAGTACAAGAATCACTAAAAAATTCATTGTCAGTTGACACAAACACAACTACCATAACACGTACGACATTTAGACATTTACGTGATGCTACAGTCTGGTGCCCTCCTCTCATGTTCAAAGGGGACGTAGTGGTTAAAGCGTTCCCTCGTCACTCCCCGGGTTCAATTTCCAACATGGGTACAATACGTGAAGCCCATTTCCGATATCCCCGCCAAGATATTGCTGGAATATTGCTTAAAGCGGCATAAAACCCAAATGTCATTCACTCATGCTCGATGGTTGTCAAGGGAAGATCCTTTCGCTCTTGAGTACGAGATTTGCCGAGTTCCTGTATAGTTGTTGGGAGAAAATGATGTCGTTCTTAAAGTGTTTAATAGTGCTGGGGTCTGGTTACTCAAAGACCACAATGATCTTCTGCCCTAAGTCAGCAACACCATTCCTGGCACTCCATGATATAAAATCTGATTTCATCAGCATGTCATCTCATGTACACAAAAGCCTACAGGGGAACCTGTCGTTGCGCCCGAGTGTAGCTTCACTCATCCCAGATCATATGTGAGCCTCCTCTAGAGTGGCCATATGCAACTTCTCTGGAATCCTGAACTCTTAGCCACACTTGGGTACAACGATATCCGAAGTCTAGACAGCATCTCGATTCTCGAGTGAAGAGCACCAGAGCCCAGCCCTCAGCCCTCGTCTGACCAATTGCCGTGCTCTTCATCTAAATGCGAAAGTCACGCCCTCCCTGATTGGCGATTAGAATACAGAGACGATTACGCACTGTCTGAGTAGAAAAGTTCCGCAGGTCATTTCTGAGAGTAGTTGCAATCTAGAAAAAAGTTCCGCAGGTCATTTCTGAGAGCAGTTGCAATCATTGAGTGATGACGTCTTGCTACAAGAGCCACCTGTCACCTCGCTGTCTAATAGAACGCTGTATGTCTGTCGTTGGTATTTGATCAGAAGGTCTGGTATCGATTCATACCCTGCTGATCACTTTTTGGCTGACACCAAAGACGTTTGCAACGTGACGTTGTGTTGCCCCGATGAAGTGGCATAACTGCTTTCATTTGTTGCAATCCATAGTACCAAATGTAGTTGTGCTCTCTAAATACACGACACATACAAACACAACACCAGCACCTCGAACATACCGTGACCTTGACTGCGTGTCTCTCTTCGTTGGTGGTACCATTATATGTTGGAACAATTTCTGTAGCAAACTTTGTGCTCTCTGTCAATACAAAACTATCTTTTTAAGATAAACAGAGTTAAGATGGTTCTGTAACCACAAAACTAGCTATATAGTACCCACCTGTCAGTTGGATTTCTCAAGATGAGGATGAACTTTGGATCTGTATACACGTGCCTCATAAGATGGGGTGTCATAACCACCGGTTTCTCTAAACCTGCATTTTGAGGTATTTTGGGCCAACCTCGGAAATCGCTAAAATCTGATGGAGATCCGTCACCTGGAAGTGAGTGAGTGAGGGTTTTATAATAAATTTCAATTTTACTACGCTTGATGAAAGACGCAGCACAATGATGTAATGCAGGTTTTAGACACTTACCGCTTTCGTGAAACCCGGAAGTATAATGACGACAAGCTGGACTATGTTATCATGGATTCCTACCTGTAATCATGTTGTGGTATCCTGATTCTGTAACTTTCTGTTCTATCTTTTGTGCCGCGGTAGTGAACTTTTGTAGAAAGCAGCTGAAGTTGCATTTTTCCTGCTCTCCCTTCATGGTAACTTTATAACCTGTGTAAAAGTAAATGATTTGAAATAGCAATGATTTATTCACTACTAGTACACTCGTGAACAAGTATATTTCATCATAAGCAAACATATTCTAGCGCGTCTTACACATGGATCTTACACGTGAGGATCAGGGATAGAAATGGTCTTCAGCAACCCAGGCTTGTCGTAAGAGGCGACTAACGGGATCGGGTGGTTAGGCTCGCTGACTTGGTTGACACATGTCATCGTATCCCAATTGCGTAGATCGATGTCCATGCTGTTGATCACTGGTGTGTCTGGTCGAGACTCGATTACTTACAGACCGATGCCATATAGCTGGAATATTGCTGAGTGGCGCTAACACGAGTTGGTATGCACGTAGGGTACAGGCAGTTATCCAAGCACGTGGAAGGTACACCAGATATTGTTTGTAGAGTGAGTGAGTAAGTGAGTTTAGTTTTACGCCACACACAGCAATATTCCAGCTATATGGCGGCGGTCTGTAAATAATCGAGTCTGGACCAGGCAATCCAGTGATCAACAGCATCAGCATCGATCAACGCAATTGGGAACCGATGACATGTGTCAACCAAGTCAGCGAGCCTGACCACCCGATCCCGTTAGTCGCCTCTTACGACAAGCATAGTCCCCTTTTGTGGTAAGCATGGGTTGCTGAAGACCTATTCTACCCCGGATCTTCACGGGTTGATATTGTTTGTAGAACGGCCCCTGGTTAAATATGAACGTCTCATCTCATCCCCTCTCTAGCACCATACTAGTGACATTTTCAGCCAAAACAGATGATTTGTGTATTGTGCTATCCATTATTAAAACGTCTTTTGTGTTTTCTGGTAATCAAGACACTATCTTTCTGAAAAACAACACATTTTACTGTGCGTGCACAATACTGATATTAGTCGAAACGTACCGGGGATGCTTAATTCCTTTCCATTTGTACACTTTTGAAAAAAAGAAGCACATAAGCCATTTTTAGAAGGAATGTATTGCGTTAGTTTAAGAGCAATTATTTCATGTAATTTCAATAATAAAAAGGTGTAAGTTCACACGTCTATAAACAATGAGCCGTTATTGTTGTGTTTCTGTTTATTTGAGTCCACAAAATGGCGTCAAAATCAGTACGTTTTATGGCCACCATTGGCAGCAATTACTGATCGGCACCGTCTTGGCACAGACTGGATAAGTCGACGAAGTCGCTCTTGTGAAATTCTTCTCCCACTCTTCCTGCAATGCGATGACCGATTGTCGATTGATTTCATCCCATAGGTGTTCTTTTGGGTTTAGTTCTCGTGATCGGTGAGGCCATGGCGGACCGCGAGGCGTGCTGTTTGTGAAGTAGCGTTGTCATGCTGGAAACACCTCCCTCTGTCGGTCCATAATCGGAAGCATGTGACGTGCAAGGACTTCGTTGATTTGCTGTACCGATTTGCTGTCAAATTCCCCTTAACCACCACTAAATAAGATCTGTGTATGTTGGATGTCGGACCCCACACCATGACACTGTCTCCACCGAATCTGTCGACCTGTCGAATGCAATTAGGGGCAAACCGTTCATTTCTCCCATGGTAGGTCTTTCAAAACAGGGGTCTTCTTCACGCAATCGATTCCTGACAGTTTGGTCAGAAATTTTCCTCAAACCAGGGATGCATTGTGCAGTCTCCACGGTTGGCAAGACGATGATGCAAGTGAGCGGTCCTTTTGAACGGTCGCTTCTCGGGTGATCTTGGGCGGAATTGGTCCGCAGGAAAAGATCCCAAAGGTAAGATATAGTGCTCTGATGAACGTTGAACGTCGGTCAACTGGAGACCGCGACTCCCAGGCTTCAAAGCGGCCAATGGCGCCGTTTCGATTGGCGGCACTCTGTCGTGGCATGATGATTTCCTCCCATCCAGCAGCGTTTAAAATTCCCGCCTGCCCGACCGTCCGGACCGGACTATTTTCATCTCCGACGGGCAAATTTCAAAAGTAGCCGGTACGGTGGTCTGGTAGATGTTTTTGCCCCTAGCACTAAATATTTCATAACATCAGACAGGTTCTCTTGTCGTCAGTTTCAGGTGTTTAAGGTATTATGATAAGTATGTTAAACAATTTACGATTGGACAGTTAATTTTACAACAACCGATCACAGCACATGTACTTTCAGTTTACCTAAACTCGGTGTATTGCTTGTTAGTGCTATGTTGTTCATTGCGATGCTTGCAAACAGTAAAGTATTCAGAAACCTGATTTTTGTTTTCGTAGTTGAAAACCGGACAGGCAAGTTTGTATCCGGACTGGTAATTTTTTAAGTTACCAGTCTGGCTGTCTGGTTTGGGATTTTTCAGGCAAAAACGAACAACAAAATCAAACACAACCTTTACCTTTTTATAGTGATCGATACCGCATGCCTTTCCGCTTAATTGCACGTTCATTTTGCTTTACGTGTTTGGTGACGTTTTGGCGAATATTTCTTCAAACGCTTCTAAAACAAGGGAAATTGCCGCGTTTTGACACTGAAGCTGTTTACCATCACACAAAGATAGCGTTGTGGAGAGATATAGCATATTTAGATTGTTGCTCTCGCAACTACATGAGTCCAATAATCTCAAAATCACCCATGCGTTTCTGTCTTTTTTTTTTTTTAAAAGAGTGTATACGTTCCAATGTCAATTTCCTAACAAAGTCATTCATCTACCTGAACTTCTAAGTTCACTGACAATTTTGATTGCTCAAATCTGAAACCATGATATCTGTTGCTTACTTGCTTCTTTTGTTGCCAGAACCAATCTTGATTTGTGGCCCATAAAGACGTAACTTGCTCTCTTGAACACTACACTCACAGCACAACATTACATAGAGGAGTCACTGTTTGTGCTTGCATATTTACTCCATGGTAAATGTTACCCTTCCGGTACAAGGCTGTGTCACATTTGTCTGTCTATAAGGAAACAAACATTAAACGCCGAAAGAACTGGTTTATATGTACCTGTACACCAGTCAATGTGTTTAAAATCTTCGTCAGTCATTCCCTCATCTGGTATAAATTATATATTAATTAACAATTACCATATCTTATACGGCACCAATAAAATATTTCCTTCTGTCTCCAACAATTATTGCATCCAAGGACGTCTTCATGGGCCAGTATGCGGTAGGAGAGGTCGGTGGTTCCTGATTTGCACACGCCAAGAAGATGGTAGTATGGGACGCACTTAAGACGAAACTTCCCATCTTCTTTTGCGTACCAGCAAGGATTCTTAAAGTTCGGCAGATATTGGGGCTGTTTCTGTGACATAAGATAAAGTATTTTAAAGCAGCACGTCATGAATGTATATTTTCCTAGGGCATCATCATAATAAAGGCAGCATCCTACTGGCAAACAAGGATAAGTTGAGCACCGACTTGACAATTGACATGTATGTATGAGTTCCGCCAACTGGCGCTTGCCATTGTTAGCGAAGGGGTTGTCCGCGATCAAGTGTAGTCTGACTTGCTACACCGACGTGAGAGTCTTATGAGTAAGGCGTGTGCAGCTACGCGCGGAATCTATTTCATCGTCATGCCAAGCACGTGCACTAGTCTACATCTGCTCTACCTTTCACAAACCATATGGGTCTGCTCATTGCCGGTCCAACTTATCCGTGTTTGCAAGTACGTAATGTGAACTACATGGTGTGAGAAAACAATTTGATCTCAATGCGAGCAAACTCCTACCAGGATCAAAACTGATAAATGATTAAGGATACACATGAATAAGACCAAACAGACCAAATTGTCTGTTTCATATTTTAATGTGGGCATAACGAACGGCAAGGGGGAAGACCTTTCAACTTTTAAACTATATTCCAGCAGCTAGTGCCTTTATTGGTGGTGAAATCGAGCATGCTCCTGATTCTACAAAGCACCATCCAACAAGAAAATAACAAAAAGTTTTGCGGTACTGGCTACCGAACAGTTATCGCCATATGTTAGCAATATTTACAAAATTACTCCGCCGTTCGTTAAATTAATGAAACAAAATTAATCATGATACTTAATTAGCTACACCGATGTGTCTAGCCTGTTCACTGCCACCGATCATGCTTTTATATGATGTGGCGGAAGGGAATCATGGCAGTAAAATAGATGTTTTCTCACAACTAACTGTAACAGTTATCGCTATTTAGAATTTCTCATGCCATTCGTGAATAATATACATGTATATATTTATATGATTCAGTAACCTCGAACAATTGATTGTGTGATTATTTGAGTGGTTTTTTTTCAGTAGATTGATAGGGAATGAAAATTAAATGACTTGTGAACTTGAATTTGCTGTTATATAAATAGGTCGTGGGACTAAGTTAAAATTTTGTTATAGGGTTCATAACTTTATCTTTAATTTTTCTCTTATGTTACTTACCGTTGGATATTTTTGTTTTGTTGTCCTTTATTGTTGAAAAATATCGTGGGGAAAAATACCGGAATTGTAATTGACCGGAACTGCGCACGTGTGATACTGATGTGTGATAGTGTTACACGGTGATAACTGTTCGCTAGCCAGTAGACATGTGTAGGATGCTTCAGTGACAAAATTAATATCCTATGCAATTCCCTTTCATCATTCAAAAGTACTGTAAGCCCCCATGGTTCCTAGTATGGTGACCTTTCTTCAGTTGCTGGTTATCTCTAGCCCGTGTTTTAGATTGCATTGTCCATAAAACGTCTTTAATTTTACAGTTAAATGCAAGTTTCTATTCTCTATCTGTGATAATCTAGTTATTTTACTGTCCTTCGTCGACAAGTTTTTATAAGTTAATTGTGTTTTTTATGAATTTGTATTTTTTTAAAGTCACGATATGGCTGAAATATTGCCGGTGTGACTATAAATCACTCACTCACTCACTCACTCACTCACTCACTCATGTCATTAGTATCATATGTTCCTGTGTTAGTTCAAGCGAGACGTTTCGGGTGATAGGCTGACCTTTCTACCCAGGCCTTGGGCGTGACGCGCGAACGCTTTAACCATTGACGCACCTCCCCTTTGATGAGTGAACACAAATGTATACAATAGACAATAATGACGTAATTTCTCATGGGTTGTTATAGGGACGAACCAAACCCTTACATACCATACAAAACAGGTCTTCTGCCTCATCTTGTCCTGCGCCCACACACTGGATGTCACGTTTCACTGACTTGTTTACTGTACTGGACTGTACGTAGCCGTGTGAAGACATGGGCTTGTTGATGTCATAAATGACAGTCCAACTGGAATGCCAAGTCACAAGCCAGAAAGTAGCGCACGACACAAGCACCAGGAACACCAATCGTCTTAAAGAGACCATCATTTTTTGACTTGCTGGAAAGAAATACAGGTTCACATATGGTAATCGAGGTAAAGTGAGTGAGTTTAGTTTTACGCCGCTTTTAGCAATATTCCAGCAACATCACGACGGGGGACACCTGGAATGGACTTCACACATTGTACCCATGTGGGAATCGAACGCCACTAGGCTACGTCACCGCCCCGAGGTAAAGTGAGTGATCTATTGATTTTTGAACCGCTTTTTTCTATTGTTTTTGTTTTTGTTGTTGTTGTTGTTGTTGTTGTTGTTGTTTAACGCCGCACTAAACAATATTCCAGCTAAATGACGGCGGTCTGTAAATAATCGAGTCTGGACCGGGCAATCCAGTGATCAACATTATGATCATCGATCAACGCAATTGGGTTACGTTGACATGTGCCAAGCAAGTCGGCAAGCCTGACCAACCGATCCCGTTAGTGGCCTTTTAGGGCAAACATGGGTTGCTGAAGACCAATTCTAACCCGGATCTTCAGGGGTTGTTTTATATATAGCATGAGCTATTAAAAGGGTACGTTTGTCTTGTGGATATATGAATGTGTTGTATCTCCTTAACACACGCCATCGTATCCCAATTGCATAGATCAATGCTCATGCTGGTAATCACTGGATTGTCTGGTCCAGAATCCATTATTTACAGACTGCCGCCATATAGCTGGAATATTGCTTGAGTGCGGCGTAAAACAACAATCAATCAGTCACTGTATCTCTTTACATATGTTTACATTACGTTTGCTTGATAGGTTTTGAAACGTTTCAAATTTCAAACAGTATTAGTAACTTTTGTAAAAAGTGATATTTAAAATTGTATTTTATTTCTCAAAACGTGAATCGGAATATTGAGTACAATTTCTCCAAAACAACAGCATTGCTTTTCACGCTGTTCTTTACTTGAACAGAGCAATCGAAGAGAATAGAACAGGAAAGTTACGTGTAAAATGAGAACAATATAGATTTTAAAAAAACACCATTATAATTCAAATACATATGTACATGACTGAAATAATTGTGCAGTGTTTTTTATGAGTTAGGGGGTGAGTTAAAATTGAAAGTCACATCGGCAGTATTTTAGCCATACCCTGACTATGAAAGCCCTATATTAGGGACCCGTCATAATTTATGGCTCGGGAGGGTGGGGGATGATCTTTATGGAGAAGCACGTACAATGTGAATGATATTCAGATTCTTGCACTTAGATGTAAATTATACCTTCTTCCCTCTTCTACCAGCAGAATATGGTTTGAGCAAATATGATTGAAGATAAATATGATTGAAATATAATTTCCGATTGAATAGTCTTATAAATATCTAATTAAGATATCTTGCAAAAATAATAATTATTTCATAACATGCATCTTTCTCTAAACTCTGAAATAAAAGATTCAACACATCCAGCAACATCCTGATTTACCCATATATACTAGGCACATAAAGAAACTGTGCATACAAAAATTTAAAATCTAAATTTACCAAACCTGTGTCGACACATAAGGATTTAAACTCAGAGATTAGTGACATGTATCCAACATGCATGCACGTGCCACGTTCCGTGACGTCAGTGGGTTCGTCCTTGAGACGTGCAATACGTTGTTGCACGTGCATTCCGGGAAAGAGAAACAGTGCAAATGAATGCCACACAATACTGTCACTTTGGAAAGCTCAACCCCTGCCCTTGCGATCGTTCAAAAAAATTAAACGGCTATTGAAACGCATAGTATGCCAAGGCTCACGTCTGCATAACGTCATGATGCCATTGGGATGGTCCGTGGGGGAATGTCTCAACGACAAGTGGCACATTTCCACTGCCACCGGAACACCATGTCTGCACTGGTAAGACGCTACTAGAACACAAATGACGTCATCGATCGGCCACGTTCTGGACGCCCACGTGTAACAACGCCAAGACAGGACAGATGGATAAGGGTGACCCATCTTCGCCACAGGTTTCAGACTGCAGTGATGACTGCCCGAACCATCCCAGGACTTCGCCGTATCCACCCCAACACCGTTTACGTCATCACGGGATCAGACCACGACGTCCCGCCATACGGCCTATCCTGACACAACGTCATCGACAAGCTCGCCGAATGTGGTGCCGAAATCATGTCCGCAGACCCTTGTTTTGGTGGAGAAATGTTGTTTTTACAGATGAGTCCAGGTTTAACATTTCCCATAGTGATGGACGTCAACGTGCCTATAGACGCGTGGGAGAACGTTATGCACAGGCCTGTGTCTTGGAGAGGAATCGCTTTGGTGGTGGTTCCGTGATGATTTGGGGTGGAATAACAGCACGCCAAAGAACTCCTTTGGTGATTGTTCAGGGCAACTTAACTGGCGTGGGCTACAGGGATCAGATTCTTCGACCTGTGGCAATTCCTTTTCTGCAACGTCATGGCCCTGGGTTAACATTCCAACAGGACAATGCCCGCCCTCATGCGGCAAGGGTTGCTATGGATTTCTTGCAACACCACAACGCTGACTTACTGCTTTGGCCAGCAAATTCACCGGATCTCTCCCCGTTAGAGCATGTTTGGGACGAGATGGATCGACGTCTACGCCGTCTTCCTCATCCGCCAGAAAACGTCCTTGACCTCGCAACAGAACTTGAGAGAATCTGGCGTGACATCCCACAAGCCTTCCTTGCACGTTTGAAAGGCTCTATGCGTCGTCGATGCACTGCTGTTCTCAATGCCGATGGTGGACATACCCGTTATTGAGCTTGTGACATGTTCGTTTGACCCCTGTCCCGCTTGTGGACTCGTTACGTCATTGTGATTGACTTTTCAATTGAAATTCTGCCGACTTGTTATGGTCTCATGATCCCTCCATTAAATGTACCTTTGATATTGTTATCGTACTTGTCAACTGGGATAATATTTTGACAATGCACAGTTTTTTTATGTGGCTAGTATATAACCAAAAACACAACTTAAAAGCAATTTTTTAGGCGTTGATGATGAATGGAATATAATATTTTCAAATTGCTTTTACAAGCTTCACCACAAATGATGGAACTGCAGTCAAGTTTAGAGCGGATCAGTGCTCTGTAGGAAAGGTGCAGTTCAAGGTTTGATACTGATCTTGTATTTTTGTAGCTGTGCTGTTTCTTAAATGCTAACTTATCTCTTTCTCCTGCTCGCCTTTGCCTGTTTGTATATGTCAGGGGAGGTGGGGTAGTCTAGTGGTTAAAGCGTTCGCTCGTGACACTAAATATCCCGGGTTCGATTCCCCACATGGGTACATTGTGTGGAGTCCGTAGCTGGTGTTCCGGTGCTGGAATATTGCTAAAAGCGGCGTAAAACCATACTCACTCTCTATATCTGTTAGTAAAGGAGCGAGTGAATTTGGCTGATCCTCTTTCAAACATTTTTATGTCAAGGTTGATGTGGAAGGAAGCAGATCTGAGACGTTTCATCAGTCTGTTGAAACCTGCGAGCACGTATATCATGCTGACGAATCTAAACACATAATCATCGGAAATGTCATAGGTTTCTAAGCGAAGCGTGGGCCTTGGACGACTGTGCCAGCTGATTATGTAAAGCCTGGACATGCTAAAAAAAGATGCAAATGTGAAGCATCAGCTTAAAAGATTCAATGACAAACTGAAAAGAAGAGGACTAAACGATTCGATCTCAAATATTCCTCTTCTCATATGATCCGTCAGGTAAAAATGAATCCTTAAACACTTAGAACATAACAACAAATTATCCCAATTTAAAAATTCAAACACAGATAGTATACAGCTATCTGGGAAGATGTGTGACAGTTGGTTTAAATCGTTTCAATTCTAAATATTTCTTCCTACTACACCAGGTGTTTACCTCCAGCATTGTGGAGTAGTTTTCCCGTTACCTCTGACATAATCAATATCGCAGACAGCATCCCATCCATCATATTAAAGCTACCCTGACCTGTTAGTCTTTTCCATGTGGCGTGTGTTGACAAATGCGAAATTTTCTTTGTCCTTGTTGTCTATTTCTAAGCGTCATGTTTTCATACAAGTCATTTATCATTTAAATGTGTCAGTTGGGCACATTAAGCATTTGAGACTACATATGGTTTAGAATTAGATACGTGATAGTATCCGATAAATGCTCCACGTTCTAAAGTTATAATAGAATTTGAGAGTTTTACATGAAATGCACAATGTCACACATTTTCGACAATATTTTGGCATATTGTTTTATATATTGGGGGTATAAGCACTCACTTTAGCTTCCTATTGATGCAATGAAAGACTATTATCCCTTACGACGAGCCTGAAATCGATAATTGAAACACTTGCCATGTATGGAGTGTGAACGTTTGTTCCGTACATCGAAAACTCTCGCGCGCAGCACATGCCAACTCATTTTGCTGCCGTGTGCCCTACCATCTACGCGACCCTAGCTTTTGTAGAACAAATGTTCCCATTCCCTGGATATAACGCCAAGTTTGATGACCAAACCCATCGCATGTTGGTGTAATGCAAGAGTTACTCCTTTTCTTTTGGAGATGATAATAATCCCCTTACTATCAAACAGCTTTGTTTAAGCAGAAGTAAAGTTAACTGGTGTATTCATTGCCAAGTTGACTTGCTAATTGACTGAATAGACAGCAGTCAGACGCCTAATCTACTCCTGAGTGATTGCATCCGCTATGTTAAGCAAGCTTTGGGTCTCGTGACACCCACAACGATCTACATGTCCATCCTAGATATACCGCCAAAATTTGTCCGGACGAATGGTGGCGGTATATCCAGGTTTAACTGTAAGCATTTTTAAATCATTGTGTTGAAAATGTATATACTAGTATTTATTGCTGGATGCCTGCGCTATACAAGTGTATATTTTTATTGATTTGAAAAACCTAGCTAAATTTTTAAATGCCTTGTCAAATGCCCTGAAATTGTAAACGAATTGTGATAATAATACTTTATCTAACTATTCTATTATTCGCGATCTTGATTGTATATTTATGTTAAATTGTATATCATTATATTCTC